AAATGCCTTGACAGGCTGCCACTACTTTGTGGGGTGGCCGCAGATTTCACTTCTGACCCTTTAAAAAAAAAATTGGAGACAGTCTTATTCTTTCGCCCAAGCTGGAGTGCAGTGACGTGATCTCAGGTCACTGCAGCTTCCACCTATCAGGCTCAAGTGATTCTTCTGCCTCAACTCCCCAAATAGCTGGGATTACAGGCATACACCACCATGCCTGGCTAATTTTTGTATTTGGGGTTTTGCCATATTGGCCAGGCTGGTCTCAAACTCCTGGCCTCATGTGATCCACCCACCTTGTCCTCCCAAAATGCTGAGATCACAGGCGTGAGCCATCATGCCTGGCCACCAACTTTTAAGTGGAATAAGATAGCACTTGGCTCAGGTCTTCATCAGCACGTACTACCCTATTGGCAAACAGGACTCAGAAGCAGACTCAGAAGTCTCTGCACATGCGTTTCAGCGGGGGTCTTCCTAAGGCTGGTCTGGTTTATTCTCTCTTATAGTGAGCTCCTTGAGCATGTCTGTTGGTTTAAATCCTCAAAAATCCAGACCAGTTACCTTATTTAAACCTATACGACAGGTTCTGGAAGAGCTGTGGGAAAGGGATAGAGAATCAACTTGACCTGGCCGCAAGGCCTGCAGAAGATTTGGTGGTGGTACCTTTCCCTCCCTCCATTTGAGCACTTCGCTTCTGCCCTAACCAGGCACTTCCTACTTTCCACAGGTCTTTCTATGGAGCATGAGGTCCTACACATTAATTCGGAAGCTAGAGGGCCATCAAAGCAGTGTTGTCTCTTGTGACTTCTCCCCCGACTCTGCCCTGCTTGTCACGGCTTCTTACGATACCAATGTGATTATGTGGGACCCCTACACCGGCGAAAGGCTGAGGTCACTCCAGTAAGGACTGAATCCTGCTATGACTTTTTTGTAGGGGGACTGATGAGGAACCTGCCTGGGATTAGACATGTCTCTTTTAGAGTCTGGGACATGGGAGGGGAAAAGCTGGATAAAAAGGCACAGTGGGTCTCTTTTTCTTTTGAGATGGAGTCTCGCTCTGTCACCCAGGTTGGAGGGCAGTGGCGCAATCTTGGATCACTGCAGCCTCCATTTCCCAGGTTCAAGCGATTCTCCTGCCTCAGCCTCCTGAGTAGCTGGGACTACAGGCGTGTGCCACCAGGCCCGGCTAATTTTTGTATTTTTAGTAGAGATGGGGTTTCACCATGTTGGTCAGGCTGGTCTCAAACTCCTGACCTCAGGTGATCCACCGCCTCAGTCTCCCAAACTGCTGGAATTACAGGCATGAGCCACTGCGCCTGGACTGGTTCATTGCTTCTTAGTGATGCCTTGTCAGTTAAGCCCTCTCAAGTAGCTTTGAGTGTCTTCCCGTCTCCCGATTCAGGCGGCTGCATGTACTTCTTTGGAATCAGCATTATGAAGCCTCAATATGACTCTTTATTTCCATTTACTAATAACTGTAGTAACAAGTTCAGAAAGAGCCTCTTATCGAAACTGTGCTTTCCAAAATGAGTTTCATGTTCTCATAAACTTGGTCTCCTTTTTCCTTTTGTGTCTGTTGTTTTATGAAGCAAATAATAGGCAGTCCTATAATTACCATGTATCTTAGCCTAAAAAAGACTTGCAGTTTCTACTGTGGCATTAAAGTGAGGGCTGACCTACTTTGCATAAGCCAATTAGCACAAGGAAGTGTTAGTAACCCTTCAGTCCCTCCACAGGACACCTGGAGCCTTCTGAGATATCCTTTTTTTCCCAGTGTGCAAATCCCAAGCTTTTCCACGAGGGGCACACAAGTGCATCTTGAGTCCTTTTATAGCCACGGCAGTTTGGCTTCCTGCCTGGGGTGACGATGGAGGGTGGAGAGCAGCCATCACTCCAGGCCTGCCATCCTGTTTCTTTCCTTCTCAGCCACACCCAGGTTGACCCCGCCATGGATGACAGTGATGTCCACATTAGCTCACTGAGATCTGTGTGCTTCTCTCCAGAAGGCTTGTACCTTGCCACGGTGGCAGATGACAGGTAACAAATAGAACTCTCTTTACGTGACCTCAGAACAAGTGCTTGCAAGTAATGGCAGCAAGGCCCTCCTGGTCTTGCCCTGGGTCAGCTAATGTGTGGATGTTCTCTCTCCCCATCCAGACTCCTCAGGATCTGGGCCCTGGAACTGAAAACTCCCATAGCATTTGCTCCTATGACCAATGGTCTTTGCTGCACATTTTTTCCACATGGTGGAGTCATTGCCACAGGGTATGTATTTGTTAGCTGAACAGATGGGTGGTGGTTTCTGCTGAGTATACCACGGAGCTTTTTAAGGAAAGAAACCATCTAGAATTTTCTTGCCTATGAGGAAACCTTTAAGGCAATTCAAGATTATATAAAACTCAAATGATCGATTTTGCTAATACAGTGTACCATTTTCTCTGAATATTTAACCTAAATGTAATTAAAGACCTGTAAGTCATGCCACCTAATGGGCCAAGTTCACAAGGGAGAATAAAATTGAGATGATGCGTAATATATGGGAAACTATTTAGGGCTAAAAGACCACTTTACAGGTAACATCTATAATTCAGTAGGTGGCACTCTTCCCCCTATTACTTTAGAACTGACTGTGGTCAGATTTAGAAAGGGCTGTGCGGAGAGAGAGCACTTTGGTATCAAAGGTGTCTTGTGTTTTTCTAATCCTATCAGCAGCCTTAATTATTCAGCACCACAACTTTTACATCCATTTCCACGGTCAGGGTTACATTTCACTCTCTGAAGACTCTGCTCTTTCCAGTCAAAACAGAAACTTGAGTATCCATCCTCATGAAAACATGAACATCCAAGCTCTGTCTTAACACAGCATCGGTTTGTTTCATTTCAGGACAAGAGATGGCCACGTCCAGTTCTGGACAGCTCCTCGGGTGCTGTCCTCACTGAAGCACTTATGCCGGAAAGCCCTCCGAAGTTTCCTAACAACTTACCAAGTCCTAGCACTGCCAATCCCCAAGAAAATGAAAGAGTTCCTCACATACAGGACTTTTTAAGCAACACCACATCTTGTGTTTCTTTGTAGCAGGGTAGATCGTCCTGTTAAAGGGAGGTGCTGGAATAATGGGCCAAACATCTGGTCTTGGATTCAAATAGCATTTCTTCGGGATTGTGAATAGAATGTAGCAAAACCAGATTCCAGTGTACTAGTCATGGATCTTTCTCTCCCTGGCATGTGAAAGTCAGTCTTAGAGGAAGAGATTCCACTTGCATGGCAACAGAGCTTTACCTTAAATCTTCAGTCCAGTTACAAACAGCAAGTGCTGAACTCTTTCTAGTCGTTTTGATTCAAAGTGCAGTTACTGATGTTGTTTTGATTATACAAGTAAGTAGGCCTCCAGAGCCTCTCTAGTGGCAGAGCAGCTCACACTCCCTCCACTGGGAAGGATGGCTTCTGCCTAGTACCTATCCTTGTGTTACTGATGCAGTGGTAGCATTGGTTCAAGTTCTCTCCTGCTGTGGTCAGAGTTGCTTCGACGTTGGCCAAGTGCTTTTCTTCTTGGGCTCCCTTCTGACCTGCAGGACAGTTTTCCTGGAGCCATTTGGTATGAGGTATTAATTTAGCTTAACTAAATTACAGGGGAATCAGAGGCCATGCTCCTGACTGATCGAGACACTATTATTGGCTTTTTTTTTTTTTTTTTAACAATGGTGTGCATGTGCAGGAGACGACAAATTTGTATGTCAGATTATACAAGGATGTATTCTTAAACTGCATGACTATTCAGATGGCTACTGGGTTATCAGTGGCCATTTATCATCATCATATTTATTTGTATTTTCTCAATAGTTTTGGCCAGACCTCAACAGATGTTAAGGTACAACTATGTTTTTCTCGATTATCTAATAACCGTAGTACTTAAATTGAACAGTTGCAAAGATGTCTTAATTGTGTAAAGACTTGGTGTAGTCATGACTTTAGCTGATACTTTTATGTACGAGATCTGTCTCTGCTGTTTAACTTCATTGGATTAATCAGCTGGTTTCAACTCTACTGCGAAACAAAAATAGCTCCTTAAAAGTACTGTTCTCCTTCAGTGGCATGTAGTTATCTAATCAAGACACCTCATTCAAACAAAACCTGCCTTAGGAAAATTTAATATATTTTAAATTATTTTAAAAGAAATACAACATCTTATTCTTTAGCTTTCTTAATCGGTGCTTTATGGAGGCCAGTGTAACATTACATGACTTGTTGAGAAAGTTGAGGAATTTCCTCTACCACCTTTGTTGCTTGAAGAAAAACATGTCTTTTCAAAATGAGAGGCTTTCATTGAAGGAAAGAAAAAAAAAAAGCTTTTGGCTCTGTTTCATTTTTTTCCATTAAGAAAAAAAAGTCCCCTTTTAAAACAAGCAGGGCTGGGTGTGATGGCACATGCCTGTAATCCCAGCACTTTGAGAGGCTGAGGTGGGAGGAGTGCTTGAGCCCAGGAGTTCAAGATCAGCCTGGGCAACAGAGTGAGACGGGACCCCATCTTTATTTAAAAAAAAAAATAGCCAAAAAACTTAGTGTGGTGGTGGTGTGCACGGTAGCCCCAGCTACTCAGGGGCCTGAGGATGTGGTGGCATGTACCTGTGGTTCTGTGGTTCTAGCTACTCAGGAGGCTGAGGTGGGAGAACTGCTCCAGCCTGGGACTTGGAGGCTGTAGTGAGCCATGATTGTGTCACAGTATTCCAGCCTGCGTGACACAGCATGATCTTGCCTCAAAAAATAAACAGATAAAACAAGTAGTACAGTGGAAGAGCTGGGAACCAACTGGCCAACGTTTGCATTTCATGGTTATCTTGAAGTTCCAGGTACAGCAGAGGCTGAGCCTCTGGGTGGTTTAAGGCCTAGTTGGCCATCAGATTTAGCTTCAAACTTTGCCACTGTCCTTAAGGAGGTGAGTCCTCCACGAATAAAGGGAATAGTGACTTTTTCCGTTAGACAGTTTAAGAATTTGACACTTATATAAAGAACAGCATCCAAAGAAAGTTTATTCTGTGATATTAGAGATGGAAGGTTTTCATATAAATGCAAGTTTGACAAAGTCAGCATCTTTCTAGCTGTCTACGGAAGAGTCACTTGTAACACAGCCAGCCAGCAGGCTGCTTTGTCTTTTATTATAAAGAACACTAACACAAATGCAGCATGATTGCTATAAAATAAATGTGAAATTTGTACAAAAGTCCCAGTCCTCCCACAGTTCTAGGTTTACAGTCAGGCTCAATCTTACTTGCCCCTCTCCTGCATGAAAACAAGTGTGTTTTATACAGCCTCTGCCCCCCAGTGGCATAGTTTAAGGCTCTATATTATATTTAAAATTAAAATTTTTTTCCTATCATCCACATCAATTTGGAACCTGCTGGTAACTCTTCTACCACAAAGGGTAAATAGACCAGTTTTTAAAGTCAGAGAATTCAGCTCATCTTATAAAAGTATAATAGTTTTGGCCAGACGTTTGTTAACATCTGTTTAAATTAGATAAAGACATAATGCCAAATATTAGAATCGTAAATGTAATTTTGGAGATGATGTTTACCTTGAGTAGGAAGACACTTGGACCATATTAGATTTGAAAGTCTTCTGTTCCAGACCAAAATGGGGTAGGCTAATTCCCTGTCATCCAAGCAACTAAAAGGTAAAAGCCTTATAACTTTAAAATAAAAAAGGTTATTTTTTTCCCCTATAAAAGATGGGCAGTATGAGTTATACATTAAAATTATTTTGTACATCTCTGCTCCAAACCACCACAAAAAATGGTACTTTTAAAAATGCCTGCCCATCCTGTCCTGGAAAGGAGTTTTTCCAAGATTTAGAGTGCCTGGTTCATCCCACGACCCCAGGCTGCAGTTCATCCCGGAACTGTCCTCTGTTCTTCCGTCACTGCAGAGCCCTGAGAATTGTGAACAGCCCTCGGAGCATCTAGGCCTCTGCAACAATCAGGTCTCTGGTGACTTGAAATGCAGCAATGAGGGAGCTCAGCTGGATCTTCTCATTGGTGCCAACAGAAAGCCTGTACCTAACAGAAAGCAAACACACAGGGTAAGAAAAAAGACACCACACACAGCTGCCTTTTCTTAAGGGAAAAAGAGATCTAGGACTGAAAATCTGTTGAAGGAGTGGGGATGGGAAGTGATAAAACAAATTTACCCTGGACGGCAATCTTGTATGTGTCCCCCTAACATTTTCTTCTTTGCCCTACACATTGATTTATAAATGTGATGTTTCAAACTCATAAGGACAGATTCAATTTTAAAAATTATTAGGTATCAGACCGGGCGCGGTGGTTCACACCTGTAATCCCAGCACTTTGGGAGGCGGGCCAATCACTTGAGGCCAGCCTGGCCAACATGGTGAAACCCCCATCTACAAAACAAACAAACAAACAAAAAACAAAAATTAGCCGGGCGTGGTAGTGCATGCCTGTAACCCCAGCTCCTCAGGAGGCTGAGGCAGGACAATGGCTTGAACCTGGGAGGCAGAGGTTGCATCACTGTACTCCAGCCTGGGCAACAGAGCGAGACTCTGTCTCAAAAAAAAGAAATAAAGTATTAGGTATCAACAGTGGTGTTCTGAACTTAACTTTGTCCTAACTATACAGATATACAAAATTTATGTAATGAAGGATTATTTTGTTGGCAAAATACATAAGAGGGAAACAAGACGGAGATTTCCTTCCTCTTAATTAAGCCATTTCACTGGGAAGTTTGGCTGATATATTGGTGGGTCTGTGGTCTAGTCAGTAAAGCAGGACACTGGAGTTCCTCTTGCCACCTTTTAAATGCCCAGCCACTGAGAGCAAAATCGTCATATTCACAATGCAATGAAGAGAGGTGACCTAATTTGTGCCTGTGAAAGCCAATGCCACAAATTAGAGTTGGCCTATGCTGACGTCTCTGTTGAACCCAATGCTGTCTACTTAAATGATAGCTGCCAGCTTCGCTGGGGGCTAATAACAGTGTTTACAGAACCAGGCAAAGCAGAAAATTGAGTTTGTGTTTACTTTTCACCCCAATATGCTTTAGTATGCCAAAATGCCTTCATAACAGCTGGGTGGTTGAAGCGAAGCAGGCCTCCCAAATAACAAGGGCATTTTCAGAATCAATGTGGGCCGAGCCTGTGAGGTCCAAGGAAAGGCCTTCATCTCAGATATGTAACTGATCTGTACTTGACCTGTGAGTTTATCCCCATGTTCTTTAAGCAGCTCACACCCTTCCCCACATTCCATTCAATATCACCAGACTGGATTCTACTGTATGTGAACGATTTAGGAAAAAAAAAAAAAAAACTGAAACCAAGAAAGTTGAAACAACTCACAACAGGGAGAAAAAGGAGGAAAAGAATGAAAACTGAAAACTGGGAGAAGTACTCACTCAATGTCTGCCATTTTGGTCAATAAATGTATTCGAACTGAAGACGGAAAGTCAACTGAGGGAAAAACAAAATCAAACAAGTTAGGTCTGTCACTCTCTACTGTCAAAAAACCCACAGAGGACAAATGAGTTTCAACATCAAATCCTTAATACTGAACTAGTCCCGAGGCCTCAGCCTGCTCACTAGATACCACACCTCTAAGAGTAAAAACGGTGCTGGTTTCATACTTTTTACCCACTCGATTTTGTGCTTCTTTATAGGGTAGTCAAAAAGGAAAATGAGCAGATACCAAAGTGATCCTGAGAACACCAAAGATCACACCGTTCTTAGCAGCTGGGTAGCTCTACAAGTTAACCTGAATGCTGAGTTCCCACTTGCTGTTTTTATTCTGTATTTTACTTTATTTTGAGAGGGGGTCTTGCTCTGTTGCCCAGGCTGGAGTGCTGTGGCATGGTGTGATCATGACTCACTGCAGCCTTGACCTCCTGGGCTTGAGGGATCCTCCACCTCAGACTCTTGAGTAACTGAGATGTGCACCACCATGCCTGGCTAGTTTGTATTTTTTGTAGAGATGGGGTTTCACCATATTGCCCAGACTGGTCTCGAACTCCTGGGCTCAAATGATCTGCCCATTTCGACCTCCCAAAGTGTTGGGATTACAGGCGTCAGCCATCATACCCAGCCTGTCCCCATTTAAAAACCAAGCACAAACAACAGATTTTTTTAAAAGTTGGTTTATGCTCAGCTTCCACAATCAAGGTGCAGAGCAGGGCCTGAGCCAACCATACTTTGGGCAGAAGGCATGGCATGGGCCAGCCAGGAAGAGGTCTGTGAAGGCCTGGGCAGAACCAACATTCATTGACCCAGTTAAGTCTCCATCCGCAGTTGGCCACTGTGGAGGGAAGAGCTTCTCCGAAAGCCTACACAAGTCACCTGGGGAGCTTAGAGAATACGGATGCCTGGTTCTCCTCCGAGAAGCTGACTTAATTTGTCTGGAGTGCCCCTATCTGCTGCCAAGGTTAAGAACCAGTTCTCCGTGTAGAAGGTACAGGCAAGTGTGGAACTTAAGATGTTTTCCTTAAGCCTGCTTTGGTTTACATGTTTACATATTTTCTCTTTCTTTTCTGGGAATATATATCTAGATAGATACACAGATATAGATAGAGACTTTTTTTTTTTTTTTAAGAAATGTGAATTAATATATACTACTTACTGCTATAAAATACAAACCCCTAGAGGAAATAAAGTTAGCCTCCAGGAGTTTTCACTCTCCCCAGCAGTTCTAGATATTAAAAGAGGGTTTATGGAACAGTTTTTTTTTTTTTTTGAGACAAACTCTAGCTCTGTTGCCCAGGCTGGAGTGCAGTGGCAAATCTTGGCTCACTGCAACCTCCACCTCTCAGGTTCAAATGATTCTCCCACCTCAACCTCCCAAGTAGCTGGGATTACAGGCGTGTGCCACCACGCCCGGCTAATTTTTCATATTTTTAGTAGAGATGGGGTTTCACCATGTTGCCCAGGCTGGTCTTGAACTCCTGACCTCAGGTGATCTCCCTGCTTCGGCCTCCCAGAGTACTAGGATTACAGGCTTGAGCCACCCTACCCAGCTCTGGAACAAAATTTTAAACAGTGGCAAGACAGAACTGCTAACAAGAAGGGGTCTGATTTACACTTCATTAGTTTCTTTGCTTCAAGAATGAAGCCTCCTGTCCTAACCATCCTTAATCCCAAAGCAGGCTACCTTCTCCACAGCTTCTCAGCTGGGGTCTAATGTCAGTTACCTCTATGCACAAACAAGTGTATCTCTGTCAGGATATCATGCAGTGCCAACCCCTTCAGAGTTTTCAACTCTGTAATATCTAGAGGAGCAGTTAAGGCAAAGGGAACAAGTTCCAGAACAAACATACTGCAGAGAATTTTGAATCCAAACCCTGGCAAGTGACTTTTTAAAGTAGGACTTTTAATCCCAACAGTTTCTCTTTCATCTTGAAGCTGCACGTGTTGGACTCCAATTCTTTATTTTTCTTTGTTTCATCTTCAGTAAGGGCTTTCTGAAAGATAGAGTTGTACCTCCTTCTAGTAGAGAATAAAGCCAACTACATTTTCTTTTTCTTTCTTTTTTTTTTTTTTTTTTTGAGATGGAGTCTTCCTCTGTCGCCCAGGCTGGAGTACAGTGGCACGACCTCGGCTCACTGCAACCTCTGCCTCCTGGGTTCAAGGAATTCTCCTGCCTCAGCCTCCCGAGTAGCTGGAACTATAGGCACCCACCACCACACCCGGCTAATTTCTGTATTTTTAGTAGAGACAGTGTTTCGCCATGTTGGCCAGGCTGGTCTGGAACTCCTGACCTCAAGTGATCTACCTGCCTCAGCCTCCAAAAGTGCTGGGATTACAGGCATGAGCCACCACACCCAGCCCCAAATGCATTTTCAAAAAGGCTTCGTATCACCATTCCCAGCCTTTAATTTCACAGCACAAGAGCTATCACTATCACTGACCACTTGAAAATTACTGCATCTTCGATGCCAAGGCCTAAGCTTTTCTCCCATCTGGGAGTGAAGCTGCTTCAAGCCTTACCCTGACTTGAAGGTCAGCGGCCCCCAAGGAGAACTCTGGAGTGCTAAAGACAAGTACGCACTCCACCTACAGACGTCTCCCTCCCACAACAAGCTGACCAGAGTCGCCTGCAGCCAGTTGTGCTTTGCCAGCAAGGTGTGGGTGCTGGTTGCAGCCTGAACTCCTGGGGCCAACTTCAGGTCTCGTTGGCTAGGAGGTTATGAGAAAGGATACTTCTGTAGGCTGTGGTGAAATCTTGATTCAACATCCAGTCCAGGATGTTGGCGATATCTGACTTGAGCGGGTGCCCGGTGCAGGTGTAGACAGTCTCCTCTGTCACCTTCCCAAAGGCCATATTGGTGCTCTGTGCAGAGAGGGGGAAGGGGGAGATCACAGTGGCTGTCACAGCAGCCACCAAGCTGCAGGGAGCCAAGAAGCAATTGCCAAGGCAGCAATACAGGTGGGCAGCAAAGTTCCATGGGCATAAGGCAGTTAGAACCCACACGTTCTACACCGGGAAGAGTCCCCTCATCAGAGGACGCCACGGCCTGTTGGCTATTCCAGTGCCAAATCCTTTTCTCCCTTTGCCTTCTTTGCCAGCAAATGACTCCTTTTGCTTTTAAAACATTTTCTTTTGCTCTTTGTTTTTTGAGACAGGGTCTTGCTCTGTTGCCCAGGCTGGAGTACAGTGGCATGATCACGGCTCACTGCAGCCTCGACCTCTTAGGCTCAAGTCACCCTCCTGCCTCAGCCTCCTGAGTAGATGGGACTACAGGCATGTACCACCACACCTGGCTCATGTTTTTTTTAGTGGAGACAGAGTCTCACCATGTTGCCCAGGCTGGTCTCCAGCTCCTGGGCTCAGGTGATCCACCTGCCTTGGCCTCCCTAAGTGCTGGGGTTACAGGCGTGAGCCACCATACCTGGCCCTGCAACAAGTGATTTTTTCAATTAATCAAAATACAAAGTGAGGAGGGGGAATCCAGCAGGTTATGAGATCAAGGTCTTACCAGTTGTAGATTTCTAAATGTACAGATTGATCATGCCTTTGCTTAGGTCTTTCTTAAAAAACTATGACAAAACAATGACTCAGCATTTGCTGGGACCAGGCCGGGCACGGTGGTTCATGCCTGTAATCCCAGCACTTTGGGAGGCCGAGGCGGGAGGATCAGGAGGTCAGGAGTTTGAGACCAGCCTAGCCAGCATGGCGAAACACTATCTCTACTAAAAATACAAAAATTAGCAGGGCGTGGTAGTGGGCGCCTGTAATCCCAGCTGCTCAGGAGGCAGGAGATTCGCTTGAACCCAGGAAGCGGAGGTTGCACTGAGCTGAGATTGTGCTGCTACACTCCAGCCTGGGCGACAGAGCAAGACTCTGTCTCAAAAACAAAAGGATTTGCTGAGACCATACCTGCAAAATGTTCAGAGCCCTGCGCATGTCTCCGCTGGAAAGAGTGACTAGTGCTTTCATTCCATCTTCACTTATATCAACTCTGAAAGACATAAGCAGAAGGGATTTATGAGGTCCCCTGAGAGCACCAGCATTCACCAAAGGAACAAGATGGTCTGGAATGATTAAGGCTTTAAAGGAATGAAGGAAAGAGAGGAACAGAGTTAATAATCTCGTGATCTATCTGATCTAGAATTCACTCTGGTTTTTAGGGACCTGGGCTTCACATTAGTACTCACAGCCAACCAAAACGAGAACAGCCTGCATTTAGGAACAAGCATTCTCCCATGGAGCCAGTCGCCTTGAATTCTGCTCTCTGGGGAGCAGAGGCCTGGCACAAGCCATGATCACACAGCCCAAACTCCTCCTTTACAACAAGCAGCTGCTCAGGTCGGCTACTTGTTTGGCATCTGATTACACAGAATGTGATGTCTCAGAACCTTCCCTTCTAGTCTAAAAAGGCTGGAAGCATCTTTGCAGAAGGGACTCAGCAGCCTGCAGTTTCCAATGACAAAGAAGAGTAGGAGGAAATTGGGCAGCTTCCAGGGGAGGAGGATGGAATCAAGAAAAATGAAGTACCAAAAGACTTTTATGAGGAATGGCCTTGAGACAGCAGAGAAAATGATAGCAGTAGATGCTCCCCAGTGCCTCCCCTGTGCTAGGCACTCTGCAAAGTCGTTTTCCAACATCCTCTTCTCTACATACGAACCATCAGTCATCCCACAAGCCTGTTTCTACTACACTGCACCCCCAAAGACCCGCAAAATACTCACTTCTCTTCTTCCACGACATGTTCCAGGCGGGGAACCATGAGTTCAGGAGTCAGGGGACCGAACCGAAACCTCGTGCAGCGGGACTGCAAGGCAGGGATGATCTTTGACAGATAGTTACAGATGAGGCAGAATCTGGTATTCTCTGTGAATTTCTCGATTACTGGTAAGAGAAAATAAAACCACCTCATGTCAAAGTCCATTCTGATTTTTCAGAGTCCAGAAAACTTGAATTTTTCTGTTGTCACAAGGGTATAGGAAAAGATTCAAGACTGCAAACAAGTGAGGATGTTGGCCGGCCGCGGTGGCTCACGTCTGTAATCCCAGCACTTTGGGAGGCTGAGGCGGGAGGATCACTTGAGGTCAGGAGTTCGAGACCAGCCTGGCCAACATGGCAAAACCTCTACTGAAAATACAAAATTTAGCCAGGTGTGGTGGCACGTGCCTGTAATCCCAGCTACTTGGGAGGCTGAGGCAGGAGAATTGCTAGAATCCAGGAGGTGCAGGTTGTAGTGACCCAAAATCATTCCACTGCTCTCCAGCGTGGGCAACAGAGTGAGACTCTGTCTCAAAAAAGAAAGAATGTAAACAAATGAAGATGCAGCCGGCAACAAGACAGGGCAGCTCTGTCCTCTTCAGATCAGAGATTAGTCACTCCTCTTTTTTTTTTTTTTGAAACAGAGTCTTGCTCTGTTACCCAGGCTGGAGTGCAATGGCGCGATCTTGGCTCACTGCAACCACTGCCTCCCGGGTTCAAGCGATTCTCCTGCCTCAGCCTCCCGAGTAGCTGGGACCACAGGCGCGTGCCACCACGCCAGCTAATTTTTTATATTTTTAGTAGAGACGGGGTTTCACCATGTTAGCCAGGATGGTCTCGATCTCCTGACCTTATGATTCGCCCACCTCGGCCTCCCAAAGTGCTGGGATTACAGGCATGAGTCACTGCGCCAGGCCAATTTTTGTATTTTTAGTAGAGACAGAGTTTCATCATGTTAGCCAGGCTGGTCTCAAACTCCTGACCTCAAGTGCTCTGCCCGCCTCAGCCTCCCAAAGTGCTGGGATTACAGGCATGAGCCACCGCACCCAGCCTAGCCACTCCTCTTTCACAAACTGGTAAACATGCCTCCGTGGAATTTTACAAAATGCTTCCTTTTTACCATTTACCATGATTCTGGCACTTTTGCCATGTAATCCCATTAAGATTATGAGACCTCTTCTTGTCCTTTTACATAAAATTATATTTGGCAGGTTGATGATTCTTCACCTTCTATGGGCAGGGAGGGGGATGGCTTTTTGCAGACTTTTCCATGGAGACTGTCTGGAGGCCTCAGAGCACTCAAGGGAGCAATAACCCGAACAAAGAGTTGCTTATGACACCAGTTCCATTCTGTAGGTACCCAATGTTCTTACATGGGGATCTGCCCAGAATGACAGTCACTCGGCAGAACAAGATGCCGAAGAAAGGCTGCCAAGCTTCTAGGACCAGAGAGATTCTCACTGTCCTCCTCAACCTCCTCCTCCTCTGCCTCGTCCTCCTTCTCCTTCCCCTCCTCTCCTTCTCCACCCCCTCCTCTCCTCCTCCACCTGCCCCTACCCTTCTCCTCCACCTCCCCCTACCCTCCTCCTCCCTTTCTCCTCCCCCTTCTCCTCCTCACCCGCTCCTCTTCCCCCCACCTTCCCCCGTCCTTTCCTTAAACATGTGCTGCCATCTACTCCCTCCCCACAAACTCCTAAAGATCGTTCTTCTCTCAAAGCTGATTCACTTGGAATCTTAATGAGAGATGACAAGTGTCCTTTAAGGGAAAAGAACTGCACTGGGCCCCCGAAGACAGACAAATCGCAGGGTGCTCTCCCTCCCCCCGCCAAATCATTCACTTAGCAAGCAGTGAAGTAATGTCAGCTTTCCGAGCACCTCAACTTCAGATATTCTTCTCCTAGCTATTGTGGTTCAAAGGGTACCATTAGCAGAAAGCAAAGGGTACTATTAGCAGAAAGGACTATCCGATAGTTTAGGGATGAAAGATTTTCCACACCCCATCCCATGGAAAGATATGAATTCTCAACCCTGAAATTGAACCCAGTGTCAAAGGAGGTTGAACACCAGTGACTGGCCAGACTTAAAAGTCCCCGCAGGGCTTAGTCCTTAGGCTGCTGAAGGGGAAGGTCCCACTGCAGAGGTATCTTGCCTGTATCATCAGATGGGAGACACACAGAAAGGCATAGAGATTTCTCTGGGCCAGAAGATGAAAACTGAAAACAAGTCATGCCATATCTCATGTCCAAAGTTCCTAATTCTCCTGTAATCCCAGCACTTTGGGAGGCCGAGGTGGGCGGATCACCCAAGGTCAGGAGTTCGAGACCAGCCTGGCCAACATGGTGAACTCCCATCTCTCCTAAAAATATAAAAATCAGCCGGCTGTGGTGGTGCATGCCTGTAATCCCAGTTACTTGAGAGGCTGAGGTTGGAGAGTCGCTTGAACCCAGGAGGCAGAGGCTGCAGTGAGCCGAGATCGCGCCACTGCACTCCAGCCTTGGCGACAGAGCAAGACTGACTCAAAACCATCCCCTCCCCCCCCAAAAAAAACAATAACAACAGCAACAAACACAAAGTTCCTAATTCTCCTTCTAGTGCGCGCGCCAGCCCACACACTCCACAGTGCCTCTGCTTACCTCTTCTCAAGGCATTCTGGGCGTCCTGAGTCATGGCGTCTGCTTCATCCAAGATCACTAGCTTAAAGCCTTTCCTAGAAAAACAAATGGTGCTGTCTAAAGATTTCTTCAATCTCACCTCAACATCTGGGCTCAAACCTACATCTTCCCATTTGTGCCATCGGGTCCTGTCTCGGAAAGGCTATTTCTTCTAGAACTTTGGCCAAGACAGACATCTTTGGTCACTCAGAGAGGAAATGCCCCATCACTCCTTCAACACTTGGTGGGAATGGAGGACTGACTTCTCTACTTCTATGCGCTATGTCCTCTGGCATCTTCACTTTCCTCCACATACCATCCTACCATGCTACTGCTTTCCCCATCTCCCTCACTCACACCAGAGTCTCTCACCCTTTCGCTTTTTTTGAGACAAAGTTTTTGCTCTGTTGCCCAGGTTGGAGTGTAGTGCCGCAATGTCGGCTCACTGCAACCTCTGCCTCCCAGGTTCAAGCAATTCTCCTGCCTCAGCCTCCCGAGTGGCTGGGATTACGGGCGCCCACCACCATGCCCAGATAATTTTTGTATTTTTAGTAGAGACGAGGTTTCACTATGTTGGCCACACTAGTCTTGAACTCTTGACCTCAGGTGATCCACCTGCCTAGACCTCCCAAAGTGCTAGGATTACAGGTGTGAGCCACTGTGCCTGGCCCTCACCCTTTTTCTTTTTTTTTTTTTAGCCACCATCCTAGTTGTCTTTCCTGATCTCAATTTATTTTAAAATTCAAACTAGCTCATCCAGGCTTAGGGTAATCTAACCAGTTCTCAGGAACTAAAAATGAAGAATGCTTCCCTAAAGAACTTGGTAATACAGGCTGGGCTCACGTCTGTAATCCCAGCACTCAGGGAGGCTGCAGCAGGCAAACTGCTTGAGCTCAGGAGTTCGAGACCAGCCAACGCAACATGGCAAAACCCCATGTCTACTAAAAAATACAAAAATTAGTTGGGCATGATGGCTCACGACTGTAGTCCCAGCTACTCAGGAGGTTGAGGCTAGAGGATCGCTTGAACCCAGGAGGTGGAGGTTGCAGTGAGCCGAGATCATGCTACTGCACTCCAGCCTGTACCATAGAGGGCGACCCTGTCTCCAAAAAAAAAGGGGGAAAAAAAAAAAAGAACTTGCTAATACAAGTGTAGACAACATTTTATTTTAGCAGTTGCATTATAATACTTCTTACTACCATCCTCTCCTTTATCTCTTTTCCATGGTTGCTTTGGACAAAGTCAGTATTTTTTTTCAAACCATATAAACTGGCTAAGGAGAGGATTAAAAAATTAAGCCATGTCATCTTACTAATCAAAATCAAGGGAGCGAAATTACACAAATAATTCTTACTTAAATATTGTCCTTGTGCTAGCAAAGCTCAGGATTGGTCCTCGAACGATGTCTATTCCTCGGTCATCTGAAGCGTTCAGCTAAACGTGGAAGACAGAAGCCAAAACAAAAAGCATGTTGCTATGCTATCTGTGAGTTCTTGGTTTTAATGTATCTCCTCATCAGTCCAGCTCAGCAGGTTAGCTTTCTATGTCTAATGATGGCTAAGAGATCATCACAAAATAAAAAATCAGTTTTACACAAAACTCACTAAATCAATAAAGATGGCTATATTACCCCCACCGTTTGAGGACAATGACTGACATAAGCTGGAGAAATAATTAACTGGTGTGGTTACACTGAATAGCACCTCCGGTATGAGCAGAATGATACAAATTTCAGCTACCACAATCCCAAGGTTACCAAGTTCTTAATAAACTGACATAAGGACATTAGTAGCAGTAAAGTTCTGAGACCCGCGTCTAAAAAGTAAATTAAACTTTTCTTGCAATAGACAATATTCACATTTTTTAATCTAAGTATGTTAGTCAAGGTCGCAGCAATATACAGATGGCATACTCAAACGCAGCAATTTGAAGAGAATTAAACAAGGAGATCTTTTTAAAGGTGCGATATAGGAAAACCCTGGGGCTATGCAATACCCGTGACCCTTAAGCCTGAAGGGGTTAGTGAAGGGAGTGGCTGTAGGCACCTGGAGAGGGCTGCAGGAAATGTACCACCTGTGAGATGTACCCTACAGATGGGCCATGCTGCCAGCCTGTCAGCCCTCAGGGAAGGTCCCGGCATCACTCACTTCCTTCCCCTACCCCTGCCAAGGCCTCTGTTGGCCAAACCCAACCAGGAGCCAGAGGGTAAGTAAGCTTATAGTCAGTAGAGCTCAGCCTTCCAGGCAGGAATAGGGTGGAGAGACGTGGAGAATTGATCCGGAGGGGCCATGGCAGACAGGCAGCAACCAAGTAACCATAAAGGAGGGTTTGGGTAGAAGTTGGCAACAGCAAAGAAAAAGGTGCCTAGCCCTACAACTGCCCTGTAGCTGACCAACACTAATCCAGACTAAAATGACCATTATAGGAAAAAGGGAATTAAAGTATCTTATTTCGAATTTACTTCTTTCCTAACTGTCCGTGGGGCAACTTACTTTTAAAGTAAAATAAAGCCAGCAGAACTGAAATTCAGAGACTGGAGTCCTAAGTTATTTGTAGAGTAAGAACAATTGTATTTACCTCCAAGACCATGGAGCCAAATTCTTTGTCTTTATACAGCTGTTTCGCACAGGCTAGGATGGTAGATGTCTTGCCTGTCCCTGGAGGACCATAGAGAAGCAAGTGTGGCAGTCGGTCTTCACTGATAAACTTCTGAACTGAGGATCAGGAAGGAAGAAGGGCACCATCAGTCTTTGGGAGCTGCCTCATTCACCCTGGGCCCCTGAGTTGGGCTGAAAGCTCTTCAACCCAATGCAATGTCCAAATCAGAGGCAGATGCAACTTGATGTAGGGGCCTTGTCTCTGCGTTCCTGGGGCAACTGGAATTCACTCAATAGTGCAGCCAGCCAGCAAGTATTTATTGAGGGCCTACTGTGTTACAGGCACCTTTCTGGGTGCTGACAACATCTGTGAACTTAAATGATTCGCTGTAACGCTATTTTTACTCCACTGAGTTGCAATTTTATGCTCATGTTTGTGACTTACCCACTAGACTGCAGCTATCTGAAGAAGATGAATGAATGATCTTAAAGCCACATTCTACAAAGCTCAATCAGATTCTTTGAAGTTATTACTTAGGAGAGACATCACCAAGAAATTCACACAGGTCCCTCAACCAGGACAAGAGCAACTGACACATGGATACTTACTGGTACTCAGAATGTCCTGATGAGAAATGAGATCATTCAGGGTCTGTGGCCGGTATTTTTCAACCCTGAAATACAATTTAGTATGTATTATGACATATATACATGCAAGAATATTTTATGTGTAAAAGAATCCTTGCAGGTCAGGCACAGCGGCTTACACCTGTAATCCCACCACTTTGGGAGGCCGAGGCGGGTGGATCATTTGGGGTCAGGAGTTCAAGACCAACCAGACCGACCAACATGAAAAAACCCTGTCTCTATGGCCACCTCCTAGGGTCTTTGTAAAGATCGAACATCTAACAGGGCGTCTGCTAACCCAATAATATGCCATTCAATAAAAAATACCCAAAAATACAAAAATTAGCTGGGTATGGTGGCATACCAATGCAGCCCCACCTACTCAGGAGGCTGAGATGGGAGAACTGCTTGAACCTGGGAGGCGGAGGTTGCAGTGAACCGAGACTGCACCACTGCACTCCAGCATTCCAGCCTGGGCGACAGAGTGAGACCCTGTATCAAAAAAAAAAAAAAAAAAAAAAAAAAAGAATCCTTTCATGTCCTAATTTAAAAAGCAAGAAAAACAAAGCACTTTAAGTTTGAACACAGACCAGTGGTTCTCAACCAGGGGTGATTTTGTCCTCCCAGGAACATCTCGTGATATCTGGAAACATATTTAGTTGTCACAGGTGAGCAGAGGGTCCTATGGCACTTAGTGTGTAATCTCTAGGAATGCTGTTAAACATGCTACAGTGCACAGGACAGCTCCCCCAAACCCACCCAGAGTATCTTGCCCAAAATGTCAATAGTGCCGAGGATGAACTCTGTTCTAATTTCATCTTTCCAGCTGTTTGTCTATAATCTCAACCTGATGGGCACCTACTATTTCAAAGTGCATTTGAAACTGAACTCCTACCCAAATAGCCTTCAACAGAAGAATGGATAGGTAAAACCTCTTCTGTCCACACAATGGAATATGATTCAGCCATAACAAGAAATGAACTACTGATACAAGCAGCAACATGCATGAACCTTGAAAACATGATGCTGAGTGAAAGAAACCAGACACAAAAGGCCACATAGTGTAGGATTCCACTTACATGAAATGTCCAGAATAGGCAAATCCATAGAGACAGAAAGTAGATTAGTGGTTGCCAGGGGCTAGAGGAAGGGGAGAATGGGGAGTAACTGTCAATGGGCACAGGATTTCTATTTGGGGTGATGAAATTTTGGAACTAGATAGTGGGAAGACTCCACAACAGTCCACTGCATTCTGAATGTACTTAATGCCGCTGAATTGTACATTTTAAAATGGTTACAGGATGGGCTTGGTAGCTCGCCTCCAAAAGTCCCAGTTTTTTGGAGGCTGAGGCAGGAGAATGGCTTGAACCCCAATGTTTGAGGTGACACTGAGCTGTGATCACGCCACTGCACTCCAGCCTGGGCGACAGAGCAAGACCCTGTCTCTAAAAAAAAAATATGTAAATACATGAAATAGTTACAACTGTCAATCTTCTGGGTTTTTTTAACCACAATAAAAACAAATTGGCCGGCCACGGTGGCTCAAGCCTGTAATCCCAGCACTTTGGGAGGCCGAGGCGGGTGGATCACGAGGTCTGGAGTTCAAGACCAGCCTAGACAATACGGTGAAACCTCGTCTCTACTAAAAATACAAAAATTAGCCGGGCGTGGTGGCAGGCTTCTGTAATCCCAGCTACTCAGGAGGCTGAGGTAGGGAACTGCTTGAATCCAGGAGGCGGAGGTTGCAGTGAGCTGAGATCGCGCCACTGCACTCCAGCAACAGAGGGAGACTCCGTCTCAAAAAAACAAAATTTTTTGAACTAGTTACTAGACAATGACAACTTGGAGCTTTTCGAAGCCAAGCCAAATTGCTTCAAAGTCTTGAAAGCATTGCTAGAACACAGTTGTTGAAGTAGGATGGTTAAGAGTACAAGCTCTGAATTCAGACTTCCTAGATTCACCTCCAAGCCAATTTTTTAGCCTTGGACCATAGGGAAGTCATTTAACCCTTCTAAAATGCAGTTTCCTCCTGTGTAAAATTTGAAGCGGTGCCTACCTCTTACGGTCTTTGTAAGGATCGAACATCTAACAGGGCGTCTGCTAATCTAATAATATGCCATCCAATAAAAGTTGACCAGGGAGCCTTATTACTAGTTTAAAATGTGACCAGTAGTCGCATCGCAGGTTTTGAAGAGTGGGAAGAGGGCACTTTGGCATGGAGGCCATTGCAGGTGTCAGGAGACGTGGAATCGAACCCCTGTGCTGTCACCAGGTGCGAAAGCCGACTTCTTCTTCGGCAAATGGAGCTGGGCGTCAAAGGGTGACAGCTGGCAAAAGTCCTAAACAGACGGACGAGTCTGGGGAGCTGGGGGGTGTCGGAGAAAACCTTTGCGGCTCGGTCCCGGCTGCAGGCCCGGGGGAGACGGGAAGAGGTCGGGTTGGGGTCCGATCACCTGCCCACTCCAGCCACCTCCTCCCCGCGCGGCCGCCCGGCCCCCTCTGCCCACAGCCACCGCTCGGCCTCTTCCTACCAGGGCAGGTTCCTGATCTTGGCCGCCGCGGGCAGCTCCTGCTGCTTGAGCGCTGAGGTCTCCATGGCGGGGAGACGAAGGTGACCAGATCAGCTGAGATCGTCGCGTCACCCAAGCGCCTGCCCAGTGACCAGCCGCGACCCGGCCCTGAGACCCTGGCACTTAGAGTTCGCGCGCAAAAGCAACTCTCGCGAGCCGTAGCCACCAGTTTCCGACTTCCTCCCTCGGTCCCGCCCCCTCGCGTTGCTAGGGCGCCGGTTGCTAGGTTACCGGGAGGCGCGGGCCGCCAGCCTTCCTCCAAGCTCCGCCCCTCCAGCCTGCTCTGAGCTCTTAGATACCCAGGCGCTTTCAGAGCAGGGAAGCGGGAGAGGCAGGGCCCCCTGCAGCCCCAGTCATCATTACATATTAAGATCGCACGGCCAAAGCCAATTCCTCCATCGCCAAGCTTCAAACACTTACGTTCAAAGGAACAAAAGCTGCCGGGGCTAAAAAAAAAAAAAAAAGAAAAAGAATCTAAGAAAAAAACAGCCCGGAGTAACACGGTTGGGTCTTGAATATAGACGCCCTTGTGAAAAAAGGCTCGCGATACCTCTCGGCCCCAAAGCTGGGAAGTGAATGTTTGGAAACGAAAACAACCCCAAACAAACACAACTGCAACCTACCTGTCTCCGGAATTCGTGTCCCTCACCCAACAAAATTTGGAGAGCCAACCTCCAGAAAACATCTCCAGAGAAAAACAAACAGAAACTTCCAGTTGGGTTAATCTGTGTCGCTGGAAGGATCTAGTTCATGAACACAGAGGACAGGGTCTCTGTGATCTGAGATACTGAGGAGAATCGATATCAACATTTTAGTTTTTTTCCTGAAGCGAGGAGAATTCTAGATCGCTTTTATTTTCTTCTTTTTTATAGGTCTGTATTTTCTTTTCTTTTTTTGGAGTCTCGCTTTGTCACCCAAGCTGGAGTGCAGTGACACGATCTTGACTCACTGCAACCTCTGCCTCCCAGGTTCAAGCGATTCTCTGCCTCAGCCTCCGGAGTAGCTGGGATTACAGGTGCGTGCCACCACGCCTGGCTAATTTTTGTATTTTTAGTAGAGACGGGATTTCACCATGTTGGACAGGCTGGTTTCGAACTCCTGACCTCAAGTGATCCACCCGTCTCAGCCTCCCAAAGTGCTGGGATTACAGGCGTGAGCCACCATGCCTGGCCTGGTCTGTATTTTCCAGCAATGAGCATGCAAAGCATCCATACTGAAGTCTTTTTTTTTTTTTTTTTTTTTTTGAGACGGAATCTCGCTCTGTTGCCCAGGCTGGAGTACAGCGGCGATCTCGGCTCACTGCAACCTCTGCCTCCCGGGTTCACACCATTCTCCTGCCTCAGCCTCCCAAGGAGCTGGGACTACAGGTGCCCACCACCATGCACAGCTCATTTTTTGTATTTTTAGTAGAGACGGGTTTTCACCATGTTAGCCAGTATGGTCTCAATCTCCTGACCTCGTGATCCACCCGCCTCGGCCTCCCAAAGTGCTGGGATTACAGGTGTGAGCCACCGCACCCGGCTTTTTTTTTTTTTTCTTTTAACATGATGAGGAAGACAAAAATCCTGGGAGGATTTTTGAGGCTGGCCTGGGGTCAGCAGTGTTCTGATTAGGAGGTAGCAGTACTCCTTGCATTGGATTACATCACTGTCACCTGCTTCAGGAACACAGCAGAGGGACAGTGGCAAGTATATGATGGCAGTTACGGCTTCACCCTAGCCCCTGCCTGGGGACGTTGAAGACGGGGATCAGCTAGGGCTTGTGATGTGACAGAGCCCCTACTCTGCTTTCTCCCAGGAAACTTTAACACTGGGGGCTTAGATCATTAGCATGTAATTTTAAAAATTTTCTTTCTTTCTTTTAAGATAAAACTGGTTTTATTCATTTTTATCTCCAGGAAAGGAATCATAAGTGATTAACAAGTTTTTTTTTTTTTTTTTTAATACTAAAGCTAAAAATCAGCACGTTTACAATTAACTTGCTGACACATGCTGAGGTGAGATATAGATGCTTCTGAATTAAAGTCACAGAAACACATTAAATATTTGTCATGTATTGCCAAATTCTGGGGTCTCTGAACACTCCTACAGTTTTGTTTTGTTTTTGAGAGAAGGTCTCACTCTGTCACCCAGGCTGGAGTACAGTGGCACGATCATGGCTCACTACAGTCTCTAACTCCCAGGCTCAGGTGATCTGCCTGCCTTGGACCTCCTAAAGTGCTGGGATTATTGGCGTGAGCCACCACACCCAGCCCACTCCTGTTTGTTAAAAGGCATAAAATACAAGTGATGGGTGTATAAAGGAAAACAGCTGATACAATTTTAGAAAACAACTGATACGATAACTAAGCAAAATTATGAGCGATTACTAAAGAAATAAATGGTGCTGTACCCTCCTCACCAATGATCTAATTACTGAGAGGCAGGCTTTACACTGGGGTTTTAAAATCCTAAAGGGTGGCTGATATGGTTTGGCTCTGTTTCTCCACCCAAATCTCATCTTGAATTGTAATCCCCAGGTGTCGAGGGAGGGAGGTGAGTGGATCATGGGGGCGGTTTCCCCCATGCTGTTCTTGTGATAGTGAGTTCTCACGAGATCTGATGGTCTGATAAAGAGCTTTTCCTGCTTCGCTCTTTCTTCTCTCTCCTGCCTCCTTGTGAAGAAGGTGCCTGCTTCCCCTTCGCCTTCCAGCATGATTGTAAGTTTCCTGAGGCCTCCCCAGCCATGTAGAACTGTGAGTCAATTAAATCTTTTTCCTTTATAAATTACCCAGTCTCGGGTATTTCTTTATAGCAGTGTGAAAATGGACTAATACAGTGGCTTTTGAAACTAAAGGAGAAGTCATCAAGAAAGCATTGCTTTGGGTGTCAGAAGACCTGCCTCGAATCAGTTCAACTCTAAAAATCTTTACACAGCCTATGGAGAGAAAACTAAGCAAGTCCCTGAATCTTCAAGTGTTCCAGGAGAATGAAAAGAATTATAAAGGCTAAAGAACCGTTAGAATCAGTGCAGTGAACATGTAGACCAAAGCATTCCTACATGCCAGGAAAATGGTGCGTTGAAATGTTTTTGCTTCTCACGAGAAAGGCAATTTAAGTTGCAAGGCAAGGGCAAACTTTTGAAGTTGGCCATGTGGACTCTGGATCCTTCTCTCTTTGTTCATGATTTGTTCTCCCTTCAGTGGTTCTGCTCCTTGCCAAACATTAGGTACCCTTGGGGTGAGATGCCACTTTTTCCACTTAGCCTCGGGCAGGTTGCTTCTCTCCTTATCCAGTAATATTTACTCAAGGATGGTTGCAAGGATTAAATGAAAGAACAAGTGTGCAGCATCCAACACATTGCCACCCTACTCTTCCCTTCCCTCCTAACACTCTCCACCCAAACTGTTCTGGTTTCAAATTTGTCCTCTCAAACAAAACCCAAAGGACTGGCTAGTGGAACTATGCCATAACCTGCCCTTTCTGATGGTTAGAGCCATCCTTACCATCATGGTACGAGCCATTCATGGTAAGAGCCATCCTTCTAAGGACCTTTGCATTAGAAGCATGATGCTGCCACCTCTTTGAGCTGGAAGATTCAAACAAGACCAGAACAACTTATCATAAAACTCTGTGTGCATCTGCTGTTGCGTTAACTTGGAATGTAGAGTTATCCTGTGTTGACATTAGATCATATGTTGCAAAGTCATCTATTGTATGCCTTCCCAGTGGAATGTAAGCTCATTGAGAGGAGAACCTTTGACTTACTCACCACTGTACTTCTGGTGCCTGGAACATTACCTGGCTCAAAGGAAGTACTCAATTCATAACTGTTTGATGAATGAATGAATGAATGAAAATGACTCATATCCATTAGGCAGTTACTATGGCTGAGACACTGTTCTGAGCACTTCACATTTATTATGATCACTCAATTGTTGCAAGAAGCCCAAGTTACTATCATTGGCCCCATTCTGTAGATATGTTAGGTACCTTGCTTAGGTTCTCATTTGTAAGGGGCAGAACTGGATCTTGCTAATATAGTCTGATTCTATATAGCCCATGCTGGAACAACAGCATCAACGGCAGCTCCTGGGAACTTGTTAGACATCCTAATTATTCTTCCCTCCACCTCAAACCCAGGAAATCTTAAACTTTGCAGGTGGGGCCCAGCCATCTGTGTTGTGACAAGCCCTTGAAGGGATTCTGAAGTGCTCAGGTTTGAGAGTCATATCACTACTCTACCCTCCTTCTCAGTCCTCAAGCACTCCAGGAATTTGATTTCCTTTATTTATTTATTTATTTATTTAAGAGAGGGATCTCACTTTGTCACCCAGGCTGACCCAGGCTGGAGTGCAGTGACACTGTCGTGGCTTACTGCAACCTCTACCTCTAGGGCTCAAGTGGTCCTCTCGCCTCAGCCTCCCTAGTAGCTGGAACTGCAGGCGCATGCCACGATGCCCAGCTAGTTTTTGTGTATTTTGTAGAGACAGGGTTTTGCCACGTTTCCCGGCTGGTCTTGAACACCTGGGCTCAAAGAATCCACCCACCTTTGCCTCCCAAAGTGGCTCATGCTGGGATTACAAGCAAGAACCACTGCACCCAGCCCCAGCACTTCACTTTCTAAGAAACACAATGGATGCTGTCTAAAAACAAAATTGTATCAAACTGAATTTAATGATCTCATTGTCTGTTATTTTATTTTTTTGTTTGTTTTGTTTTGTTTTGTTTTGTTTTGTTTTTTTGAGATGGAGTTTCACTCTTGTTGCCCAGGCTGGAGTGCAGTTGGGCAATCTTGGCTCACTGCAACTTCTGCCTCTCAGGTTCAAGCGATTCTCCTGCCTCAACCTCCTGAGTAGCTGGGATTACAGGTGCCTGCCACCATGCCCGGATAATTTTTTGTATTTTTTAGTAGAGACAGGGTTTTGCCATTTAGGCAGGCTGGTCTCCAACTCCTGACCTCAGGTGATCTGCCCACCTCAGCCTCCAAAAATGCTGGGATTACAGGTGTGAGCCACCGTGCTGGGCCGTCTTTTATTTTCAATTCATGGATCGGGCAGTATCCCATTTGTAAAACAGAAAGGTGCTCCAGCGAGCTGAGCAAGGGCATGCAAGGCATGGGTTTCTTTTTTTTTTTTTTTTTTTTTTTTGAGACGGAGTCTCGCTCTGTCGCCCAGGCTGGA